GCTCCCGGCCACCGCAGCCTCGACTTGCTGGGCTCCGGCGATCCTTCCGCCTCAGCCTTCCGAGTAGCCGGAATTACAGGCGTGCGCTACCACGCCCGGCTGATTTTTTGATTTATTGTAGAGATGAGGTCTCGCTGCCCAGGCGGGTCTCGAACCCGCGGGCTCAGGCAATCCACTCACCTCAGCCTCCCAAAGGCGCGGGATTACAGGTTGAGCCACCGAGCCCGGCTCATAGTTTGTTTTTAATAAGAGAAAGAATAAAGATTTTTAAATGTCAAACAGCTGTCAAGTGGCTACATATTCTTTACTGTTTCAGTTACAACAGAAATAAAATTACACAAAAATGTATTTTTCATATGCATACTAGTGAGGTTATTTTATTTAAGTTTTTCATTATACAGTCCATACCTAAGTATAGTATATATTTTAAAAAGATATCCCAAGTTTCTAGGTAAAAGTATATGCAAAATAAATGCAGTAAATTATTTGATAAATAGTATTTATTTTTCACAAGCTTGACCTTTGGGTTTTACTGGAATGGCAGAAAAACAAGGAAGTTAAACAAGTTTGTTAAAGAGCATATAGGTTTTAACAACTTGGACAAAAGCCAGGAAAGTTTAAGTTAAAGCTGATACCTCTAACTCTGACTATTGTGTCTTCTTCCTGTTTAAAGACTAAATCGCCAGCTTTGTTTGAATAAACAGGCTTTACATCTTGTACTTATTTAGATACACTAAATGCCCTGAACGCACAGGTGTGGGGCAGTTCTGATCACAGAAGCTGCTCATTCTGGTGTGGCCATCTCCACTTCAAAATATATTAAAAATGCATAACCACTAAGAATTGTTGATATTCAATTCCGGCTTCCCCCAGGGGAGCTCAATCTTCCTTCTACAAAAATTTATTAAGTCTCTGAGGAATTCCTACAGATGAATTTCCTATGTTTACGGGAAAAGAAAATCTGTTAAAACGCAGAGATTAGGAAAATCATCCATCTTCAACACACTGTGATTAAAACGATCGGTCTTACAGATTTTATCACTGTCACCTTAATTTAGTTTTAAAACAACAAACACAAGTGTGTGAGCTCGGATCGTTCAAACAAGAAAAGCAATCCATCAGAGCTGGACCATGGAAAATGCTCTCGGGGACTATCTTCAAACTATCCTTTTTCAAATAGTAGAAATTGACTTTTAAATCTTAGTCGACAGCGGACAGATTTGGAATCTATTTTACGAACCCTATAAAACTCAACCGCCTAGCTGGTGGACCTAAAGAGTCTTGTAGCAGCAAATACGAAGACGCAATTTTTAAAACGCTGCTCGGAAGAGCAACTGAGTAGTCATTACTGCCCGCTAGATCAACTGTGAACAGTCACGGCCTCCGGGAGGGCCGTGAGGCCCCCTGAAACGTGGCGCTAAGGTCTATATTTAGCTATCCAAACCCTGTTTACACAACCGGCAAGACAAATGCGCAGCACTTCCTTCGCACACCCGGCAGATGACGCGACACCAGCTCCCGGGTGCAAGTTCTCCGGCCACGGAGGGCGGGCCGCGGCGGCCAACCCCGCGCGCCCGGAACCGCCCGCCCGTCCTCAGTCTCGGGCAGTAGCCGGCGGCCCGGGCGGGAG